TCTGAATATGAATAAAGCACTGACTGTGCAGAACAAAGATGCTGAGATATCCTGGCTTAGAAAAAGGTGAAAAAAAAATCTTTGGTCAATAATTCTTGTCTGTTGTAAAAACCTGGAGGATTTTTTTCCCCCTTGAAAAATGGAATTAACTAGTAGGATCAGAAATTTGTGCAATAAAACACTTGGCATAGTCCAAATATTCATAAATATGTGGGCTGCTACAACCAAGCTTTATTTATCATTCTTTTATACGTGAGAATGAGTAATTCTACTACATAATGTACAGATGGTGAAGAAGGAAAGTCCGTGGCTTAGAAACCTCGCTGGGCAGGCTAATCCACAGCAAGATTCAGGTAATAAAGCAGCAGCACAATTTGTATAAAAGATCAGTACAGCAGAATTGGGTCTTTAAGTGGGGTTTGAAACATCAGAACTGGCTGAAATTAGATAATAAGCTCCGTGGGCATAACCAGGGTGAGAGCTCTGCAGAGATGCTCTCCAAGCTCCCAGTATATTCAGCACCATTTGCCCCTGAAATCTTCTCCCCAGACAGTTTACACTACAATTTAGGCATATAAAAAAAGCAAACTGTGCTATTATATTGTGGTAATAAGTCCCACAAGTTAACAAAACATTGCCAATTACAGCAATCTGTCTATCCGTGTTTAATGCTTTTCCATTTCACTGAATTGTTTCTTGTTCTGGTATCCTGGGAGGAAGGGAAAAACATAAATACCCAGAAGGCCTCTGCTATAACTTGCCCTCTGAGGATTTGTTCTCTTGATCTTCTCAGTACTACTTATCTCTCAAAATTCTTTTAAAATGGAAATCAAGTTCTGCCTTCCCTATTTTCCTCACAATTCTCTGGACTTTTCTGATTAGGTAAACAGGGTTTAGTATTGCTCAACTGCAGCAAAGCATGCTGCATTATCAATGGGAACAGGTGAAAAGAGACACAAGCATCCAAGATATAGATGTTCTCTTAGAAAAACCTCTGTGGAAAACAGAATATTTTAATTTAGCTGTTTTCTTTGCAGTAAGAGCCAGCTGGAAAAAAAATTACCCCAGGTTCCCTAGATAGCATTTTATATTAAAGAAGAGATACTGGACGCAAATACAACATGAACAATTTTGAACAGTGCACGAGGAGGCACTGTAACTGAGTCTCAAGGGGTTTAGAAATTCCTTTCACTTATACTGCAGGTTTTGGTCTTCACATGAAATAGTCACTTTCTCCAGTAACCAGCACCTTTGTGGAAAGGTCAGCCTTGTGGGAAAGGAAAGCAGTTCTCATTAATATTTTACTACTAAAGATGAAGAAGCTCCAAAAAGTCCAAGAAATTTCAGCCTGGACTCAATACATATGGGAATTCCTTCCAGAGATAGCACTGTAAGTCATTAACTGCTCCAGTACTTCAGTCCCTTTCCCTCCTTGAACAGATAGACATGAAGAACTGCTTTTCAACTCCAGCAGTAAGAGAGACACAGCAGTAGGACTGAGGAAAGGTTCCCATGATGTCTGGACAGACAGAACTGCAGCATTCCTCTGCTCTACAGAGGACAAAATCAGAAACCCTCTGTTAGCACAACAGACAGGTCCCCACCCCACTGGCAAGGAGGCTCTTGCCTGGTTTTGCAACAGCAGCAAAATCCTGAATAGCCTCAGTAATGAACTGCATACTCCTTAATGTCTGCAGATTTATTACCCTGATTTATGCAGCCACCAGCCTTGAACACAGATGAAAACCACACATTTATTCCCTTAAAAATATATAATCCAAATGAAGCCTCGAGCTCCACAGCATGCAGAGACATAGTGTAACCAGCAAAGAATCATTCATCCATGTAAAGCCCCCGTAGGTGTGTGGTCCCATTGGTGGACTGGAGCATCACAACAAGGCAGGCTAATTGGGAGCATCTGGGGACAGAGAGGGCCAGTTTGGCAGGAGGTGTCCTGAAGCATTAAAGATGTTCATCAGCAGCTGGGTGACATGAGTAGTCATGTCAGTGCTGAAAGGGCACATGAGCCACAGTCCAAGAATGATGTATTTCATGACAAGAGGCCATGCTTTGCTTTCACCTTCGGTATCTCTTTAGTGAGGAACTGAGAGCACTCCAACGAGGATCAGCCCTGGACTGGAGTCCCTGTCACATTTCTTGCCTGGCTCTCTCAGGGCTCCTTCCCTTTGGTTCTCATAGCTGTGCTATAACTAGCACCTTGAAGCTGCAGATCCCAGAGAGTCTCAAGGTCACATACTGGTACTCAAAATAGCACCATTTGCACACCAGACCCCAGAGGGGCCTTCAGCACCCGTAGGCAGCTCATGTAGCCTGTTGCAGGGAGCTGGGGCTGTGGAGCTCTGAGCAGGCATCACATGGCCACAGGAAAAATGCCCTTCAGCTGGCCCCTCACAACAGCACTTCCTTTTTGTAAGCATTCACTGTTTTCATCTCTTTACCTGAACAGGAGACTACAACCACACTTCTAACCACTCATCAGAACAAATCACGTTGATTCAAAGGAAGCCTTGAAACTTGTGTGATCCAGGGACCGGAATAGCTTGGCACAGCACTGCTTGCTCTGGGGTACTGCTGCTGAAAGGCAGGTTACCTGCAGGCCACTGCAGCCACGTGGCCTCTATTTCTGCTGTAGTTACCTGCGTGCCTTCCATCTCTTCTCAATAAAATATTTAATAAGAGAGAAAATTGCCACAGAATATTCACAGGGTTCAACAGACATGGTGTGTATGTGAAAAATGCTTCATATTTTGGAGTGCCTGAAGCACTGTGTAAGTACCAGCCAATTAGACCTCAGCAACACTCCAGCTGGATCTTTACATTGCAGAAATGGTACTCCTAGGTGATGGTAAGTCAGAGCATGCCACAGGGAAAAAGGCACACATCTCTAGAGTTTGTCAATGAGTCTTTGCTAGTAGGACTAGCAAGAAGGGGCAGGCAGAATCCAAGTTCTCTGGGACAGATCATCTTTCTTCCTCCATGTCTATGCACTACAGACTACAAAGGAAAACTGATCTAATCATCAAAGGATAGTCATAACTACACCATCAGGATCCACTTTTTATAGAGGTAGGTAATTCTATTCCTACTTTACAGATAAGAAAACATAGGCCAAAACAGGACCAAAGATGAGAACGGGGTCAGAGTCAGTTCAGAGCAGGAGGAAGGAACCCAGGCAGTGTTGTTATGAATTCCTGAGCCACCTTGCCAGCTCCTTAGCCCCCTTCTCACGTTGTCACCGCATGCAGAGTTGCCCCGGTGTGTTCTCACAGCTCACCCAGCTCTAACACTTGCAGCCCGAGGCATCTTGTCCCTGGCAATAACCAAACTTTTGCCCCTCCAGCAACTTCATTGGCAGAATTTAGAACTAAAGCAGCAACGATGTTTTCTGCCTCACTAAATGATTGGCAGAATTTAGAACTAAAGCAGCAACGATGTTTTCTGCCTCACTAAATGGCAACAGGCTCAAGGTGATTTGACACACTATCTGTTCTCCAGCAGAAAATGATTTTCCAAGGGATTTCCTCCCATAATACTGTGCCAGGTAGCCAGCCTCTCAACATGAGAGGCAGAGAAGATGTTTCCCTGGGAACAGTAACCATAGCAAAGCTATTATCAATCTCTTCTCCTCTCTACCTACAGGAAGAAAAAGAACAGCAGATGCCTGAGCTCTGCCTCCAACAGGCCCATGGGCCCCCAGAGCCATAAGAAACCTGGAAACACCTGATCAAACATCCAGGAAGGAAATTCAATGAATTCTGCTGTCTTTTATTGGGATACCAGACATTTCTGTCATACTGTGCTGAACTCGGAATGCCACAGTACAGAGAGTGCAACTGGAAACATCAGTGTGACTGAGAGGTCAGCCAAACACAGCAACGCATAGGTAGGCACCGAGCCCAAAGATCAGCACGGATGGATCACCCACAGAAGCAGAGGTACAATGGACTGGCTTTGCAGTTTTCAAACCCTGACATTGTGTGTTAGAGCCCTATTAAAGAAAGCATCTGCAAACCCCAGTTTGCAGGCAGTAGCTGCTGGCCGATGTCCTGCTTCTGGTCCACCTCTTTTTCTACAGAATATTCTCCATTTACCACATTGAATGCAACTCTCTTTGCTGAAGAGCTAATTAAATCATAATAAACAATTCAGCTTGAAAATACAATCATATTGCATGCTTTTGGGGATCTTTTCATCACATATTAGTGAACGTTATAATGGATTTGAGGTTTACTAAGTATTTATTCAAGTTAACACAGCAAATGAAAGGGGGCTGTTTGGTTAATCTTTCTTTCAAATGTCACATAAAGAAAAAGTGTCCTATGATTCAGCAATCTTCATATGTGACTAAGCAGTCAACAGCCTAGATTTCAACTATTATCACTCCAGAGTTAACATGCAGTTAGCACAAATTGCCAGAACAACCAGCATCTTATGCTAGCAACCCACTGAGAGCAGAATACTGCCCTGTACCCAGGCTGACTCACACAGAGCACAAAAAGCTCCATAGTCCAACTTTCTGAGTAACTAGAATCTTCATAGAGAGAAAGATAATGACCTTCTACATAGTAATTTAGGAGAACAGGGTGACAAGTTCAACTGGGTCATGAAACCCACTGCCCCAGCTTCTTACATTCATTTCAAAAAAAGTATTTTCCTTGCACAGTAAATACCTGCTCCTGACATATACAGAAAAGTCAGTGTCTGACATCCGAGTGAAATAAATATTTATTCAGAATGAGCCTCATTCATTTTAACCTCCTTTAGGTCAAATCACTGCAAATATCCCAGAAATAGACAGCCAAGTAAAATGCTACAGCCACACCTGAGTTAATATCCAAATCCAGCCAGTTGCCTTTATCTGTCCCTGACTCCTCAGAGAAAGCATTAGAAACATAATCTCTTTTTTGCAAATTGCCTGGGAATGCAGTGCAGCTCCCACTAAGAGAAGATGCTATTTTGTTTAAAGATGCTGTACATACCTTTCTTTGCCATGCGCTCCAGCCTAACGCATCCTCCTATAAAATCATGGTAAGATTTCATTTCTCCCTCTGTTATCCGGACAGCAGTGAAAGGCAGATTCCTGGGTACCTGTTGTCCACATTTCCGACACCGAGAAGCCATTGCCACAGCTCAGAAGACTCTTGTCAGGAATCTGCTCTCTGTTTGCTGGAATCCAGCCTGATTCTTCAGCCGTCAGTCCAGGCTGGTGACTTTATCCCACTTAGTTCATTCAAGGTCACCCTCGCCAGCAGGATGTTCGCCATCGCAATTGGCTAAGACTTTATAGGCTTAGTGACTGTGTTTGTTTCTCCCTCCTTGCTTTCAATATCAGTTTACTTTAATCTCTCATTCAGAATGAAAGCTGTGAACCTCAGCACAGCCCATGCCCTGAATGGCTTCCTTATCATTAATTTAAAGCTGCCTTACAAGCAACAATGACGAGAGAAGATCCCAGAAGCACATTGCAAGATCACAGAATGACTCCTAAGGAGCATGCCAGACAGGTTCACAAATAATTTTTCCTCAAGAAAAGGGTTTTCTTCATGATTTTTGGTGCCTTTCAGACTTATGATTTTATGATTCTTCATCTCTCAGAACGGATTTTTTTACTTCTGCATTTCAGCTTGGGCAGTGCAAGGAGACTGCTCTGCAGAGCTGCTCAACCAATTACTCATATGTCTGGCAGTGGCACTGGGAGGCTGCAACTGTACAGAAAAGCCCTCTGCTGCTGTGCACAGTCCCTGCTCATAAGATCTGATAATCTAAATGAACAGAGTAGCAAATGGAGAACAAGGGAAATATTGCTGGCAGACATGCTCTGCTAGCTGTGCAACCCCCCAACCAATTTTGTTTAAAAAAGAAGTTGGATCAATCAATTTGACACCAAAATGAGAGATTTGAAACATCCATTAAATCTCTTTGAAGGGGCTGGGTATTTACATTGATTTTTTTTTCCTTTTTAACAACTACTATAATACAAATCACTGGTTAGAGAGCTTTGTGAAGAAACTAGTACTTGGGGAACTGAGTACAGAGAGCACGCAATCCTGATGCAGTAGAATAAAAAGGAGCCTTCCCTGGGATCTGGAGGGAACTGCACAGGAGATGCATAACAGGCACAAGGCCAGCACTGGTGACAGTGCAAAGAATACAGTGAGAACCCGATGAATCAGGGCTGAGCTGCCACCCAGAGCTCATCCGCAGGGACCTGAGCACAGAATGAGCTTCCTGCAAGGACCTTACACACAGCCTGAGAACCTTTGCCTTCCTCTGCCTCAATCACTAACACCTGTTGGCACTTCACACAGTGCCAGAACAACATCCAGTGTGTTCAGCTCATGGCCTACTCAGATCACAGCTGATCCTCAGGCACAGAGTGGGAAAAGAGAAGGGTAATTAATCCAAATCAGAGAATGAACCAGAGAGAACAAAGATGTTCAGGAGAGAAAAGCCTTACATGGTGCCATTACTAAAATGGTGAATAAGTGTCTGGACTGCATTGAATGCCTGTAAGCTGAAGCACACAGAAGTCAACTCGTTCCTGCTTCTATCCCATTTCACAAACTTGCAGCTTCTCCCCTGCCAGCTCTGCTGCTCCTCAGCCACACAGTAGGAGCTGTTTAAGCTTCCTAACCCAGCGCACACAGACTGACCATACAGTAAAACAGCTACCGGACTTGAGAACTGAGCCTCTGGACCTCCCTCCTTGACCAAAGAAAGTTATAAAGGACATTGCCCCTTTTATGGTAAAAGACTTGTGCTACCCTGCCCCCCAAATTTGCTACATGGCATGAAGCTGCTCTTTGCCAAAACACTACCTGCAAAGAGAGGACAATGATGTACTGAGCTGTTGGATGACCTGATTCATTAGCATTTGTAAAATATTTATTAGAGCTTCCATGGAGAAATCCCCAGGGGACAGCAATATTTTAGAGATAGGGAGAGCAGTGGCACAGAAGGCAGAATTAATTTGTAGGAAACTGCCATCATGAGATAAGAAAACTAGAAAAGCAACCCCACTGTTTTATCTTTAAATCTTTCTTCCATCATCTTTTCTTTCATTACAGGGGCTGAAGGTGTCCTTCCATACACAGGCAAACACAATGTACCTCAGAAAATAAACTTTGCTGACAATATATTCATGTCTGACATACACAGATTAATTGCACTTCAACCTTGCACACGTATAGATACACAGTGAGGGAGAATCCAGTATTTGTGGCAATATACTTCTGTCTGCCGCTCTTGTGTACTCTGCTCCCACCAGTATCTACATGGCTTAGCAACAGGAGGATCTGTGAGATGCTCTGTTCCAAGTGGGAGACTTGACTCTGGAAGTGGGATGCAAGAAGAAATCTGCCCTGGGTGTGAGCTTTGGAAGCACAAGTAGCCACAGCACGCAACAGGAAAACTATCTAAAATCATCTCTCAGTCTTTCCCTAGGAAATCCTGATCCATTACAATGCTCAATACAAAACTCTGATGCCTGGGGTACCACTGCCATCACCCAGCTCCAGACCAAAAAATGAGCTGACTGCAGCTGCTCCACATTGAGCAACAAGGCACATAAGAGTTACCTCAGGGACTGAGTGCTGTGCTGAAAGGACTGGGATGGATGGACAAAAGGATCTGTTTATTCTCCTGTAAGTGTCATTTCATTCCCATATCACAGGCAGATAGGTTGGCTTCTCCTGACACGTATGGGAAACCTCTGACATGGGAGCGCTGAGACCTGCCCTATTTCCTACCACAGATCACCTCTTCTGTACTGCTCTGGATGTATTTGCACAGGACCTGCTGCAAGGGCTGGCTTGCAGGAACGCTTTTATGTAACGCACTCAGAGTGGACGATTGATTTTAAGCAATTTTCCTCCGTTAGCTGAAAAGTATCAGTCTGACTGACAGCAAGTCACTGCTCTTTGCATGCAGTAGTGGGGGGGCAGGTATAGAAAATGGTAAACAGGCTTCCCTGGGTCTTCTCCATAATAACACAATGGAAGCTACTTTGCAGCTGCTGCAGACAACCATAGCAAAATGTTACGAAAACCTAAGGAAGAGGACATTTTCTGCTCATGAATTGCCAGCATTGCCTAGCAACATCATCTGGCTTGATCTGTCAATGAATAAGCAAGTAAATAAATTTATGAAATTGTCATCAGAAATTTAAAAAAACAAAACAAAATAAAAAATCCCCCACCCCACAACCCATGACCCAGATATCCTCAGATGCCATTAACCAAAACAGCCTGCAAAGCTGCACTAGTTCTGACTTTCATCAGAAATGCCAGTTTACCTTGGAATTGACACTTGCTGGAAAGTGCTTGCTGCCGTGACTGTGTGGCCAGAGGATGGCCACAAATTTGAAGTCAACTCAGTTAAATCAGTTTAAGCCCAATATCTCTTCTCATGAAACAATATGCTTCTGCTTCAAAAAGCAGTACTCTGATGGTTGGTATCACTGTCAAGCACAAAACATGCAACAAACATGTTAGATCTCAATAATGCTGAGCCCAAGGGATGTAATTTCTTGTGAACAGTTAAGATTTGAGTTTGGGAACAGTATTTATGTGCCAGAGGGAGGAGGAAGAGAACTCTGTTTCTGCTGCATGGGTAAATGAGGCAGCTAGAAAACACTGTAAAATGCTCCCTGTTTGCAGCATAACCCACACAGTCATTTAAACAATTGCAGGGAAACAGGCATCACTTTTCCATCAGAGCCTTGTAAGTTTAAGAAAGTTTACTGTAGAAAAGACTCAAAAAATTGCCTCTCCTATCCACCAATGATTTAAAAACAACAACAAAACATAAAAACCCAACAGCAAGAGATATTTATTCATGAAGACCAGTAGATCCCCCCACCGATGTATATAACATTCCACAAGCCTGAGAAATAAGTGATCTAAATCCAATGCCAATATTAGGATTGATACACATCGAAGCTAAGAAAATAATCTGTATTTCATTTCTGAACCCCAGCTTCACATTTTCCTATTTCATATGTGATGTTTTATCTGATGTTTGAACTGATCTTTGATAGCTATGCTGAAACACATTTTCCTTTTGCATATATGTGACCTTCTTTCTGCCTTCCCCGTCATCCAAACCATGAATCTGAGGCATTTCAGCAGTTTGACACAAAAGTTTATTTTCAGAGCACACTTGGTGCTGCTACAGGTAACATCTATTCCAGTGTTCAGCTAGGAAATGGAAACTGATCTTTTCTCTTAACTTCCATTTATTTTCTAATAAAAAGCATACCAGGACTGCATCTCCCTCCTTTTTTAATAATGGGCTACATCCCAGACATTGTTTTAAGCCCCAAGGAGTTAAAGTAATAAGCAGAGGAAAAAACATCTCTGTTCTTGAAATTACTTTTAGCATACAGCACTGTTGCAATTACAACATACATTTCCTGCACTAGAAGGCACTAATTCCAGTGCCATATGGCTTCAGAATCTCATTACACTGATCTGCTTAAAGTGACTTCTTAACGGACGAGCAAAACATTTTTGGTCACCTTCAGCAGAGGAAACAACAACTCTGCCACTGTTGACGCACATTTACTCCCACGCAAGCAGGGAGTAAAGTGGAGCGAGTAGAGTGAAGATCAGAGGACAACCTTAGCCAAGGAACTTCTCTTGCCATCTCAAAGCTGTGCAGACATCCAGGGTTAGTCAAGGACTGTTACCATCATTATAAAAAATAAAAAAACAACCAACCAAACCAAACCAAAACGGGCCAGTGCCATTAGTGCTGGATTAAAGAAGCTTCCCAGGAGATCAGGACATGAGCGGAACCTTCATTGGCCAAGCAGTGGCACGAAGTGCTGCGGCACCTGGCTCTTGACCTCTGCAGCTAAGTGCAGATCACCAACAGAAGGCATTTCTGTCCTGCTAGGAATCTGCTCGGCAAGATAAACAGATTCTCAGAGTTACCAATCTGTAACTGGCACTGGGGTAAAAATCAGCTAGATCCAGGGCTTAGGCTTGGATGAAAAGTTCTTCCAATCGTGATCATGAAAATGCTTAAGGACCTAAGTGAGACCAAGAAACTTTCTGAGAAATACATTCCCAAAACATAGCTCCTGGTTTAAAGTCAGGGGAATAAACTGAAAGACAAGTAAATGCAAAAGGAATAGATGGCAGAGACACCGGATAACCAGTGGCTGTGGCCCATAAAACTGGGCATGTCAGCCCCCATCATCCTACACTCCTAAACACCATGATGACCATACCACCAATGCATCTGAGAGGTGGATGCACAGGCACGGGCTTTGTGCCATGGCCCTCCAGCAGCACCTTGAGTGCTGGAAAAGACAGTCTGGATTAAGCAGGGAACATGTTTTTCTCTTCTCTGTCCTCTGCCACTGCACACACCGAGTCACCTCCAGAGCCATGGCAACCCTGGCCCATGCCATCATCCAGAGCACTGCACTGGAATTACTGCACTATTCCTCCTTCTCTCCCCCTTCACCTTTTCCTCCTGGCAACCAACCGCTGAGCACTCACAGAGCAGAACAGCTGCTGGATCCATGCAGCCAAGACCACCAGGGCAGCTTCTTTCCCCGAGGAGCAGCTGTGTACATTCCCTGACGGAAGCATCATTTTTTTGTTGTTGTTGCAATTCATAACTTGAAGCAG